GTAAATGTAATATATGTTTCAGAAAATTATGTAATGTAATGCGATGGAGGTTCTTTAAGCAGGCAATTCCAGTCCAAACCCTGGAAACATGACATAAAGGATTTGTTTTACTTGTTGCATGAAAAGCACTAATATAAAAACATAGAAACTCGCTCAAACTTACACAGATTATCCGTTCTATAACCACCATATTTTATGGACAGTTTAAGGAAATCGTACGGTAGGATACGACATAAACTATTGTCCGAATAACCTATTTTCTGAGTCGGACAGATGTCGCTGTCGGACAGATGTCGCTGTCGGACAGATGTCGCCCAATCTCTACACGAGCTTATACGAAGAAAGTTTAGTGAGCTTCACGTAAACTTGTCCGCGATATTATATCAACCCTTACACTGCAGTTACCAATTAAATAAAGCACTAATAAGCAGACAATATGCATTACAATATGTGATTGACAGGTTAAGTAAGTGGGTAACTTGTATATGTAATATAAGTATGTTATGTAAATATGATGACATATCAAAGTTTTTGTGGTGTCTTCTTCAGAGACGTCGCACTTTAAATGCCGTATGTTTTAGCGGCAACATGTAGTTTTACATGTCATCTCGAGATCAAGAGTTCACAGACACTGTGTAATGTTTGTCAGCGCAGTTATTGTAACCAGTCACAGTAACCATAACAACAGTTACCGTTAGTAACAGTAACCAGTAACCAGTTGGTAACAGTAATCAGGCCAGGGTCGTGACCCGTTAACTCTTATTACAACCTTCATCTAATTTACGTTGTTCACGTAGAAGCTCAGAAGTCAGGGCTGCAGGCCTGATTTGGTACTCGTGACGTACACATGTCAGATTGAAACACGTAAACATCTTGTAATACTGACATAGCATAATTTCAATGTATTCTGTCGGACTTTAAGTATAATTTTAGTAACTTATCAGTGATTTTATTCATTAATTCATAGTTTAATGATAAGAAATTCAAGATAAGCCGTTGTAAAATCCAGCTTTATTTAGAGGTTGCCATCTGGTTTCCAATTTTTAAACCTTGAGTACGCAAAATTATGAACAAATTAAGAAACAAATTACGTGAAATTGGGAGATAAGGTCCGGCCATGTTACCTTCAACAACTCAAATTATAATTCTACCCATTTCCTTTGTAGCGAGATTATCACTATAACACTATCCTGATACATAATATAATACTCAAGGTGACTTCAACTACAATATCAGCACTTATTAGGAAGTTCTACATCTGTAATATCGACATACAATTAACAATTTCTCTGAACCTGTTGACAGACGGCGCGGACACTGTCAAACCCTAGCAAATCACAGTGGGGTGGGGGCGAGTTGTAACATGTAAAGTGGGAGCTTGTAGGCCGGGGGCGGGAGGGGCCAGGGGTAATCTGGGTGGGGTGGAAAATATCTAGCTCTCAATAGTATTTATTCTATTCAGATTCAGATTAGTCGAGGAATTTGATTTAGGAGTCAGGTACTCAAATATAATATGTGAGTAGCTCTTGTTGAAAATTGTCGTACATATTACATATTATATTATGAGTAAAGTATTATGAGTCATGAGTATATCACTGTCCAGACATAAAAGTTCTGCAGTAAGATCCTCTAAAAGTGTGCTAAGCTGGAGAAGAGTAGAGTAGAGGAGAGGGGTATGGTTACAGTAGACGTCAACAAGATGAGGGTATAACAGGGTGTGGTCAGGAAATGTCTGGGAGTTTGGAATATTAGTAATCTGGATAATTTAGATTAGTCGTCTGTGAGATATGTGAGATGATTAATCTGGATAAGTCATGTTAACTTTTTAATATCAGATTAAGAGTATCTGAGTTCTAGTCTGATTAGGATTTTCTTATCGTGAATAATTCATTTAATTGATGCAGGAAATTTTTATCTACAGGAAACTGAAACATAATTAATCTAGGAGATTATGTTTAGAATTCAACTTTTGATCATCTTCATCAGATAATTTTAATTTCCGAAGCGGTCTAAACTTTATTTTTCTACATAAAGTCTATTTCAGATTCCTGCAAGTCTAAAATTCCCGTATTAATTCAGTGACGTTTGTAACACATTTGGGGTACGTGGGCCATTCCTGTCAAGCTTGATTAATTTTCATTGCAGTCAGATAAATAATAAAAAGATTCCCCGCAAACATGTAGGTTCAACTATGCAGCTTACCTGTTTCTCTTTTGCAATTGGCCGTAAAACTATGCGAAGAGAAGAGATAATACGGGGCAATGTTTTTGAAAACTCCTGCGGAATTTATTAGTTTTATCTGGAGCCCCCCAGGAATCCAAGGTTTATAGGCCCAAGTGAAAGTTTCAGTGAAAAGTCCGAATTTGGTAGAATATCCAAAAAATTTATTAATTTATCCGGTAAATTTAATCTGCTTATCTCGTGTTATTGTGTCAAGATGGTTTAAAATTTTTAGATTCCGTCGGGTGAGATAAGTGTTATAATTCACGCACCACGTGACTTTGTGATCACGTGACATAGGTTATCAAGTATCTTTTGGATAACTTCCGAAGAATTCGTGAGTTTTAAATGCTAAAATGTGGAATCAATCATGGGAAAATGATATTTTCTCAATCTTCGGTCAGTTGTTTAAGAAAATAAGCGGCATGTCATACGTGGTTTTGGGAGCTAGGTTATCTTTTGAGCGTGGATAACTTCCATGGTATTCTTAAATCCTGGCTGCGGATTCGATCTCATGGGAAAATTGATATTTCTCTATTTCATTTATTAATTTTCATACAATTCTTTCTTAACCATGCACGTTTCAAACAAATATTTGTCAATTAATTCGTAAGTCTGAGAAATATTCTCCCATAGCCAAACCCAAAAAGCAACAGCATACTTCATGCTGAACAAAGAAAGCTTCAAACCTAAAAAATTTCATACTTTTTAACATTTTTGGAACTCGACACCCCGTTTATCTGAACGTGTAATTGTAAACATTTTCACATCTTTCCGGTCTGATGGGCTAAACTCTACTGTGAAAAACAGTACTTACTTAGAGACATTCTTCTAAGATTGTGACGAAAATGTTTTAAACAGTCTTCCAAAATATTTTCTTGTAAACATCCGGCCAACTGTATTTGTTGGCAGAGAGATGTTTCTATTATACCCCAGGTATTTGGTTATAAAAGCAGAACAACAAGCATCTCCAACATCTCACTAATAGGAGCCGTACGGAAATATCCCCCGCTTTTTTGTTACCAGCGATCAATAGAAAGACTTCCCCATTCATTACATTCTGCAGCCAATTCACTAATCCAATATAACGATGAAACACAATAGCGGGACACGGTTCTAAAGTTCATGTCTCCATTATTATGTTAATTCACAATGTTATAGATTGGTCGAGCTGGAGGTATTACGATGGCTTTGTTTAGCTAAATACCAGTAATTTTAGAGTTTCAAACGAACCGTTTGTTTAGCTACATATATACGGCGACATTGAGCCAGTACGTGGCTTGGACGAAAAAAAAACGTTGTAAAATTCTTGGTTTATAACACGAATAGACGTGCCTTGTCATTACTGATTACATGACATTTTTTCTGTGGAATCAAGAATTCTGTAGAACTCATACATATTTATAAATTAAAGTTTGTATTTTTACAAATATTCGGTTTCCGGAGCCTGGCTTATCCTAATTAATAATCTCACTCGAATCGGTAACACTCAATGACCGCAACCAATATCAACTCCTTGGTGAACTCCAGGTTCAAGGCATCCTTCTACCATGCATTACTCCTCCATGCCTTGATAATGGTGTAGTGTGCAGACAACATAACATTTTGTGCATATAGGTTTCATATAAAATTGCCCACAAAAAAATGTGGAGTTGCAGTTAGAATTGCTCTTGTGTAGGCAACAAGGTTACCAGGTTACCAGGTTACCAGGTTACCAGGTTACAAGGTTACCAGGTTACCAGGTTAAGGATTTGTCTACCCCTGTACTATACCCATTCCTCCTACTACGTAAATGACGTGGAGTTTTATCTGATATTACCTAAATTCGTGCAGAAATGCAGACCTCTTATTAATTTCTTGGATATCCAATTGTTTAATGTTATCAAGATTCCTATTTACAGCGGAGTTGATTTCATAAGGCACTCAATACAATATACTGGCTCTTCCGCTACTATTATTTTTAATTGAAGAACGATAATTCGCCTCACTTGAATACAAGATATGCGAACATCGCCAGAGAATTTGTATCTCGGCCATGCCATAATTAGTAGTCATTGACTTTGATTCTATTTAAAACCGAAGCCTAACTTGTCCCATTAGTACTTAATAGTTAATGACTACTGACTAGACTTCCGTAATGTCACTCCATGCTATTCTGCCTACAGTCAATGTACAACGAACAGTTCCAATGTGTACCAAGCTACCGAGTAAAGTTACTGATGATTTAGCAGTGTGAACTAGGATTCTGAAACCCAGAAAGTTCCTAAATTCCTAATAAGTTCCTAAATTCCTGAAAGTTCCTAAATTCCTGAAAATTTGGTAATAATTGTAAAGTTTTAAGTTGGTATTCCCAGTAGTAAGGTAATCAATCAACACTCTGCAAATTGTAAGGTATTATCATTTTAAGTATTTTTATCGTAATTCTGCGTGCAGCTTCGTGCCCAAATCCCATAAATAAATGACGTAAAATCTAGCCTGTTCAGCGATATCAGTTTCTACTTTTACTGAATTAACCGGTAAAAAGATTTGATCGAATTTTACTTTTGATTATACTCTTGAAGTAGGGCGTGATCTGATTACGTAATCACACCCTTACATCATCACCAACATTCCACACATTTTTGGGTTCTGGAAAGTCGGTATTAGTAATGTAGTTGTACTGATGAGTTGTGAAACATATACATATTAGGAAATTTCATCACTTGAATTGTTGGAACTTTTGTGGTGTATATCTTAGGTTTTAAAAATAGCATAACATCTGATGATTTTACTTTTCACAGGACGCCACTGGAGGAAAGGAGGAAGAAACGGTGGGCAAACTCCAAAAGGAAGTGGGACGATCCAGAGTTGAGGTGGGTTTTTACTTTTTACCACATAATTGAAATTTCCTACTGATCTAATTCCCTACTAATCACGTTGAAGACGAGCAATTGATTTGTGTAATAATATGTGGTTCATGCGTACTCCAGAAATGAAGGGGCAACCTTTTACCTTGTAGCCAATACTCAATGTTGGCTCGAACACAAGTGGAGCTGTAAGCATGTTTTACTCATTGTTTGTTGTCTGGGTGTTGAATAATACGCTGAGGAATGAATTTGAGGAATGTGGGATTTAAAGTTTAACCTGTATATTGACACAAAGTGGGAGTTTTTAAATATGCAGTCAGCGGTGCATCACCTAGAGAAGGGACCTACATTCTAATTTAGGATTCCAAGCATATTTGTTACTTTACTCGTTAGTGACGTGTACATAAGAATACACGGTTCGCTTAGTTTAGCTATTGAAACAATAGAAGAACGATTAGAAAGGTCGCCGAAATCCCCAAACGACACAGCTTAATTTCCACCATCACATTCAGGGTTACAATCCTTTGTGTATTATTTGGGGAATGTGAATTGCTTTGTGTGTATAAATATTTGAAATATGTTAAAATATTATGTTAATAATAGCTGCTGTCAGCTGAAGCATGACATTACTTTACAACTTATCGGAGCATGACACTGTAACAGTAACAGTCTTTATATAGAATTATATAGAATTGAGGCGTTGTCAGTGAGAGTTGAGATACAGTGTACATCACACATTTTACATTGTAATCGTTAATGTGTAGCCCCCTTGTTGATAGTTTGGATTACGTAACGAGATATAAATAGCGAGGTATAATAAAATTTAATTTTATCAATTCATTATTTATAACGATATTCAAGGTATCAATTACACGTTCACGTCACCATTTCAGGTATTACATTGCAAAGTACACAAACGACATGCCCAGAAAGTTACAAAGGAGCGAGATCCAGAGAGCGGTTCAGCTGTGGTCAGAAGTTGCTCCAGTAGACTTTAAAATTGTGAGTTTAGTAGTTTGGGAGAAGTTGTGGGTGTGGACTTCTTTTGAAGTGGTATAGGAATTGTGAATTTTGAGAGCCTGAGGTTGAAATTAAGTAAAGTATTGTATCTGACACGTGCCTTGTCTGTCACGTGTCTTGTTATCACGTGTCGAATTAGTTCTGCTCGGTTAGGGCCAGATATTCTTAGCTTTCAACACTTTATGGCATTGTTTACCCTCCCTCCCTCACTTCATGAAAAACTGAAATTAAATATTAAATTAATTAATCTAATATCATGCCAGGGTCCATGTTTATGTAGGATATATAGAATATTAGGTTTTAGATTTTGAGAATAACGCACCCGAAACCCCCCTCTCCAATTAATTTTGGATAGAAATTAAGATTTAAATTAGATTAATTGAAGACTTTTGTCTGGGTTATTAATTAGGATTAAGGTAAAGTTTGGGTTTATCGTGGGATTTAGGGTTCAAGTAAAGGTGTAAAAAGAATATAACTTTGATAGCGGGTGTTAAGGGGCTTCGCACTCGATCCTCTCGAAGTTCATGCCATTTTGGTTTCCGTTGTACATCTGAACTATTGTTCAAATATCTGAACTATTGTTCATCAAGTAATGATCAACACAGATACACTGTGTACCTCTTTTATCTTTAAACGTACCTCGTAACTCGTTAAATACACATATGATCAAGAATGTACCTTAATTCCCTAAGTTATTTCATATGCTTCATTCCTAAATGAACAATAGCTTTTGTTTATACATATAGTCAATATTACATTCCACGAAGATTATCGCTCCCATTGTAGAGTAAACAATTTTAACAACTGAAATATCAGAAATATTCGAGCTTTTCATATAGAATAAAAACAAGTCCCTCATATTATGGAGCCAGAGTGTGGACTAGCTGCACCTGGTTAAAACACTTCCATCTCATTACAATTATCTGGTTAAAGTACTTCCATCTCATTACAATTATCAATAACAATTATCATATCAATAACAATTATCAATAACAATTATCATATCAATAACACTTATCAATAAAAATTATCATATCAATAACACTTATCAATAACAATTATCATATCAATAACAATTATCAATGACAATTATCATATCAACTTCATTTAGGACACATTGAATTTTATCAGATATCATTCATCAGCATCTTCTATAATCTATATGGTTATATGGTTATATCGATATCTTCCATATCGGTGGAATCATTTTAACAACGGCACACATATCATCAATAGACTTTAGAGTCCTGACTCTGACTTTAAAACGCTCTTTGACAAGTGACACCTCCCCTATATCTCCCACACAATCAGTAGTACTACTTGATAATTCTAACATGTATCATGTTACTTATTGATGTATCTTCAACTCCACACCCTCGTGATGACGCGCATAAATGCACATTGCACATATGACGCGCATAAATGAGCATATAATGACGTCAAATAAAGTGTTGATATAACTTCTAAATAGGTCTGTACATTCTTGCTCTATTCTGGAATATACGTTGCTATGACGATGTGATAATGCGATATTGGCGCTTAGTTTATGTGGATTAATTAAGTTAGTTAGAACTCTGTAAAACCTGTATACTGGTGTGGTCTCGTCAAAGTACTCTGCAGCCTGCAGCATTGCAGCGGGTCTAAGATAATTTTATATTAACCATAGCTGCCCAGAGTTGGTATTATGATTTTCTTGCTGTCTGGATATTATTAAGGCAGACAGTATAATATGATCTGGATATGGGTCGATTACATATGCTGTGATATATAAGCATGTATAAGCTGTTTTTCAATAAACAGAACTACAGAATAAACTATCCGCTTACTGTGTATCAATGCTTAATATGTCCATTATATTGGGCGTTATCGCAGCTCTAACCCATATTGTTTCAAAACTGGCGATAGTAGTTGGGGTTTACAGTTCACAATCCTGAGATTAAATTTAAACTTTAAAACTTTAATAATTACATCATTGACAACCATATCACTTCCCCTCTCAGCTACTCATTTCCTAAAATTGTACGACTCAGCTGATTTAACCGCGTCGTTGGAATGTCCCTTTCAAATACCGTACCCCAATTCTTCTCATGATTCAACCACGGAAACGTGCCTTGTCAGCTTAGTAACCACGGAAACGTGCCTTGTCAGCTTAGTAAGTACCTACTTTTCGTTCCCACGCCATATAAAGCTGTACAGGAAGAAGAATCTCCATCAGTATCAGAGCTATTTTAACCTAGACAGACCGACTCAGCGAAAGGTTTACATGTCACGTGACTGGTTTACTTAGCACGTGACTGATTTACTTAACACGTGACTGATTGCGTAGAGGCTGGAGGGTGTTTGGTTACGTTTGCCGATTGATTGAGACTGGTCTTAGGGACCAGAAAATGTTTACGAAAACGTGACTAGGTTGGATCTTACGTCATGAGTAGTTCAAGTCACGTACCGTGTAAGAAAAAGTAACATATGTCGAGGGTAATGGAGGGGGGATGATCTGTATTTCCCCCAAAATAACCAACCTAGTATATCAGGGTCAGTGGAATGTTTGCAATGGCCTCATCTTGTAAACTCAACCTATGAAGCGGGATATGCTCTAATAATAGTTCGCTTAAAATAGCTAAAATATGGACCACCTCTCTTTTATTACCCTTGTCAGTCGGTGGCAGTAAATTCGCAGAAACTCTAAAACTGTGGTCAGGTCGGATAGATACTTAAAAATTTGAATGGAATTTTGATGGAATTTTGTGGTCTTTGTAGCGAAAATTTCACGGTCTTCGTCCATAATTTGAATGGAATTTGCAATGAAAATGATCAGTGTGCACTGGCTGCACCCCTAAAATTCCACATGTGCCCTCTGATTCCCTCTGATGTGACCTGGAATTCCGGTTAATAAACATGTCATTTACTCACACATTCCATTTCACCGTCTAGATGCTATTTCCTAATTTCGATACGAGCCCTGTGCATGCTGAAATCAATAATATCGGTTTAGTACTTGATAACCGCTACAAATAGTGCAATCATGGTGTTTATCGAATACCTTACAAGACATATTTATGGCGGCCTAATTTGCGACGACCGAAATTTTGGCGGTCCGAAAATATGGCGAAATTGAACAAAAACCGTCAAATTTCGGACGTCACAGAAAATAAGGGTATTTTTCATCATTTTTTGTGACAGTAAGCAGTAAGGAAATTTCTGAAATTCGGTAAAATCTTGTAGGTTTACAACCTACCAGGACGAGTTGGACTCGTCGATGGTCCAATATATGGAACAGATATTTTACGAGTATCACCCGTTAAGTAAAATCATGTTCAAACTTAGTCTGTATTAAGACTGTAAGACTTTCATGTTAGCACATACATGTATTTTAATGCAAATTTAAACTGTATTGCTTGACATTCAATTCGTCATTGGTGTGGTGATAATATTTGTCCCAAGATGCCAGAATTTATTTATTTATTTTACTTGATATTACTTTTTAGAAACAATATAAAGCAGTGAAGGCACAGTCACTGAAATAAGCTAAAAGATAATGCGACGGATTCTATTACGACGACCGAAATTTTGGCGGTCCGAAAATATGGCGAAATTTTCGGAAAACCGCCACATTTCGTACGTTATAAATATGTCTTGTAAGGTAGTCGTATTGGTAGTTGGCAGTGAAAGATTGCAATTTATATCTGACTTTATGCTTTTATGGGCGATACAATATTGCAATATTGGAATATGAATAACGGTTGTATTGTCCTACAGTTTTAATACGATTATTGGATGTATTTTGAATTCTGAAGAAATACAGCTATAATAATAGTGTCAGTGTCACTCAGAATCACGTTTGACTTAAATCATTAGATGTATTCAAACTTCAGAAGAAATAATACACCTACAATAGTGTCACTCAGAATTACGTGGCTTTTGCATATCCTATATTTTCCAACTTGAATGAAACACCCTGGATCAGAGTAAGCCAATTACAATTCCTTACCTCCTGAAACAATAATAATTGTGGGAAATCCCTGCAGCTTTATTGTCATTCTCCACACTGTTTAAGCAAAATCCACCATTTTCAAGATTGTTCACCAGCTTTTCTCTCCAGGCTTCAACCCTTTTCTCCAGGCTTCAACACTACCTATCTGATAATCAATTGTCCGCCCATTATTCTTCTCATTATCCACCAATTAGTAAATTACAACAGTATAAACAATACACCCCTCCTTCGGGTAACCACACCCACTCCTTCCGAGAAAAGCCGTGCCAAAATGACTGAACTGCTTGTAATTGTTTGGTGGGAAGGATAAACGATAAAAGGATTTGATTGGTTGGTGGGTGGGTACTGGGGAGTGGGCACCTTTACTTCTCCGAAAACCGTGTCATGTCCGTAGTGGTACTATCTGTCAGTTTCTTTGAAATTTTCCAAGACTATTGCTTCTTAATTGAGTGCACAATGGACGGCCATTTAGGAAAAGTCAAGATCTTCAAAAATCGATTATTCTATAAGCATTGGTCATTGGTCGCAAACTTACATTTTTCTTTTCAACAGGCCTGGGAAGATGAGAAGAACCAATAAACATTGAATAATGCAATGTGGATAATAAATAATAAAAGAATTGTGCACCATTCAGACATCAATATAAGTCTACATTATCGGAGATTTTCTCCGGCAATAATGACATAAAAATGACATAATCAAGGAATTGAGTGATATATTTTCCCAAATCCCCTGAAAATTTTAACTAAAACAGTATTCTATTTAATTTTATCAGAACTCAAATGGGTATTGGGGTGGTTATTAGTGGTAAAGTTTGCAACCTTTTTGGAATTTTGTGTTTCGAAATGTACCCCCTTCGCTGATCTTAAGTTGTATCTCAATGAAGAATGTATGTAACTGAAATCTCGTATCTAGGGATAACGACCCGCTCCAATTGTAACCCTATTATAATGTGAAATTCGGCTAATGTCGTGTGTAAATCAATTCACTGGAAATTAATGAGATGATATCCGTATTTATATCCGGATAATCCTTCCCTCCTGTACCATAACCTCTCTTTCTCTTCAGACTAAGAAGTATAATCCAACAGTAGACATAGTTCTGTCGTTTCAGTATTATTACCATAGAGACGACTTCTCCTTCGACGGCACCGGAGGTTAGTAGCGGATTAACTATTACGTTAATTAACTAGTTAGTTAATTGAATACTTAGTTAATTGAGCAATTGCTTAATATTTTAAGTGAACAATTAAGTAATTAAATAATCTGTGTTTCTGAACTTTAGGGTAGACTAAAATTTTAACTTTTATGTCTTTCTCGCTTATTTTTCTTTTTTTTCCCTTTTATTTCACCACCTAATGAACTATGTATAGGTGAGTTAACACATGAGTTCCTTCCTAATTGTCTAACACTTTCACTTTCACTTTCACTCTACAGGTGAGTTAGCACACGCGTTTCTCCCCGAGGCAGGAGTAATCCACTTTGATGATTCCGAGTACTGGACCTCAGCTAAAGAATATGGCATCAATCTTTATACGGTTAGTAACTTTTGTGATTATTATTTAAATCATAATTAAGTTGTTATCACTTCAATTTATATAATAAGCGCTGAAAATTTTGTTCCGATGAATTTTGTTTGGCGGTTTTATAGGACTTTTTTAGATTCCTCCTCCGGTTTTATTTTAAAATATTTCTTCGTCAGAACATATTGTGATACATCGTAATATTGGTTTATAGAATTACAGCCATAGGCAAATCACCTGAAACCCAATAAACATTTTCGCAAAACGAACAAAAACTTCAACTGGGACTTTTATCATCGTGGTAATCATTCCTCACAAGTATTTTCCGCATATTTTACAACATTTGTAAATACCAACAATCCGCGTCAACAATATCAGAAACTAACAGACACTCGTACTTTCGCCGAATTTTTGTTTACTTTTCACCGCGATTGTAGTTGTACGGTCAGGATGTCATACGTCATTGTGTCTGATTTCCAACCCCCGTACAATTTTAAAAAGAAAACTTAGTCTTAGGTCACGGTCCGTTAGATCGTGAATGATAAAATTGGTTTTATTGTGGTGAAGGTAACTCACGACAAGAAAAAGCTCCTCCAAAGAAATAAAAACTAGCCGTTATTAAAATCTCTAAATCAACATATTGAATACTACAAACACAAATTGCATACAAATTATAACAATCAACATCGAGTAACACAAAAAAACGTATATCATTATCGGAAAAAAAACTGTAAGCAGCAGTGCCATGAGGCCCTATTATAATCCTATTATAGTCATATAGTCCTATTATAGTCCTATTATAGTCCTATTATAGTCCTATTATAGTCCTATTATAGTCCTATTATAGTCCTAGAGCATAGTATGATTTATCCTGAAAGGTGGATCGTGTTTCTGGGTGTAGAAGTCTAGCTTCTGGGAACACTAATTTAAAAAATAATTAATTAATTAATTAAAAATAATTAACAAACACTTATAACTCATACCTCTGTCATAGGGTAAAACAATCGTGTTCCACCTGAGATCACTGACTCGCTCAACAACCTTCATCACAAAACTCAATCATTAAAAATCACAATTAAACACCATGATCAAACCTCCCGAGCACTATACAAACTCATCACGTGTCTCCTTAAAGTGGGTATCGGCACACTCCCGGCTGATAACACGTTAGTATGAAACTGTCTCACATCAAACCTCGCCTCCCCCACCACCTCCTTCACATCCTCCCTCAACTTCAACACCTCCATCAACCCCACGTAGTACGATAACGCTTGTCCCGGGTTCGTGATATACCTGTCTATCTCCTGCTGGATCAGATCAGATCGCAGGTCTGTGTTCCGTTCAAAGAATGTAACCGCTCGGTCACGTGACCAGTACCTAGCATGAATACCAGTCTCCACGACTAGACGCACCGCGCGAACCAGCTGCATTGACAACCTCCCCAGATGGTAGTACTGGGTACTGTACCTGGAGGGGAGATCAGGCAGCTCCACATCCATCACTCCCATCTCACCACACAACTTCTCCGAGTATAGCGACCACCCCTCTGTGGAGACACTGTATTGTACGCGGGCGTTGGAGAGTTTGGAGAATATGGGGTGGGATTTAAGGAGGGAGTTTGGAGGTGGTGGCCGGGGATTGCTTCGTGGCAAACAAGCGCTCTCATTTTCAACTTGTTGAGGTTACCTCCTGTTCCGATGTAGAAGGTCCCGTTGGTTTCAGGACTTATTGATTCCACGTAGTAGCCCATGAAAGCTCCTGATTCTGTTTCAATGTTTAGTCCTGCTCTTCCGACTTTTATAATGTTCTCCGTGAAGCCCTCACCCATCTTCCGGTTTATCACTTCCAGTATGTTTCTTACACTTTCCTTGACAGCCTCCTCATCTGTGACGTCATAAAAGAACTCGTCGTGATGACGTAGTGTTGAAAATATCTTCTGCATGGGCCAATTTGGCGAAACAAGCTGATCTCCTGTTTCATAAATCTTCTTCACGACCTCCCTTATCTCGGATTTAATCTTCCCCACTTCAACCATGCCCACCTTGTGAATATAGTCCGGTGTCAGATCTAAAGTAGTGTGTTGTAAAATCTGGTGTTGGTAAAACTCCGTACCATTTGGTGTCCCTGACACACCAGGACCAGTGAGTATAGTACTGAGCATGCTGTTCATGGATTGTTCTAGAGCGTAGAGGTACCGTTCTAGGGCGGGTTGGAAGGAGGTGCTGATGGCTGAAGTAAGGGAGTTTACGAGGGACTGTGGAGGGTCTTTACCCATGTTGTGGGTGTAGCTGTACCAAAAACAACTGATGAATCGGCCCTCGTTTACCATCGCTATTGTTGTACGTAGTGATTCAACAGTTTCCAACATCAAGCGTAGATGGTGAGGGCCGTAAAACGGCTCTGCTCTCTTCAGGAAATCTTCAAAATGTTTAATTTTCTGGTCAAAAGTTTGGACTCTTCTGACCCATCCCTTAGCCACAGCATCATCTACAATGTTAACCCTGCAAGCGTGCCCGGCGTAATACGTCACCACACCCACGAAATCTACATTCCTGACATACCAGTTCCTGTACTCTTCCACTTCTAACCTCACTTTGAACAGCAAGCTCTCCTTCGCCAACTTAAGAGCATGGCTATCATTATCTACTTCACATTGTTCCAGATCTTCCAGAAACTTCTCCAACCTATCTGATATGTTATCATAGCACTGCTTAGAAGGCCAGCTATCCCAATACCCACTGGTAGCACTCAACCCTAGCTTCTGTATCATTGGAAGACTATACAGAGAGTCCACAGAAAACAACATATCTCCCAACACGTACTCATCTATCAGTGTCTCTAGATCGGTGTTCCAGTTCCTACGGTTCCCATTCAGCCACCGGTGAACCACTCTGTTAACCCTCCCTGGGGTACACCCGTTAGGATCAATATTCAGGAGTCTCATTGTGTAGGGCAGCTCCGAACATTTGGTTGAAGTTGTGTTGAGTGTCCGGACACTGTGTTCCCAGTCGTTTCTGTAGGCTGATATCACAGCTTCGACTATCCTCCAGGTCTTGATACCGTAGAGGTGAGACGTGGAGCTGGAGGTGATGGGGAGGATTAGTGCAGCGGAGACGAGAAGGAGGAGGGTTAGTAACATCCGGCCATCTTGCTTTGTTTCTGTTTGGAGGGTAGTTGATCAGAGAACGGGTTTAAACGAGGAAATGCGCAAATTATGAAAGAGAAAAATACAAAGAGCCGTCCGTGAAGTTGGCAGTAACGTTCGGTATAAATATTTGATGTGGATTCGTTTGGAGGTAATATTTGTGAACACCAGATATTGAACTATTAGTTAAAGAAAGATGGGAACAATCGATGGAAACTTTACCGCGGTAATGACCGGAATTGATGGAGAAATGGTAAATGGCGACTAAAAGTAGTCTTGTTGATGGAGCATCTGATGATTGATGAACGGTTGCCAATATTGATCGCGCTATAATCGTCCGATGTAACAGATATTTGAACTATGTGACTGATACATGTATGTAACAGATATTTGACAGATGTACATATGTAACAGATATTTGAACTATGTGACTGATAAGAAACAAACCACGTTCCTGAGCGGGAGCTAATGTTACCTGATTACGACAAATGAGTGAAAAAACGGAGATAAAATCAAAATCAAGGGGGAGGCTGCCAAGGCCCCCTAAATATGACGTTTATCAAAAACTAATCGAAGGAATGTCATTGAAGACGCGTGCCATTACTCGGAAACTGTGCCGGTAAGTTACGACTCGTGCCAAGAATTAAGATACCGCTGAAAATGTTGATCACGTGACAAATGTGACGATATTTCCCTAATGAGGGTACTTGCCTTATCGGTTTTAAAATCAAGATGTGTTTCAGAGGGCATAGACTGGGGTTCCGACTGCTTTAATCTAATCAGCTAGAGTTAATAACCGGTTGCAAAATTCCAAAAATTATGTATGGAGCCAAAAATGCTTAAAATGCTCCACTAAAAATCAAGCACCTTATTTTAAAATGCCAGACTCTTCAAGCAAAGAACATGATCCAACATACCACCAATACCTGAATACCAACATACTCAATCCTCATAGATATGACCAATGAGATCTCCTTACTAACTAACTGATAACCAATTAACAATTAACGGCAAGGACTCGACGTATCCATTGTTATTTGTTGTAGGTGATCAACAATGCCAAACGTTCGGGCAGAGGCAGTGGTAGGATGATTTGAGGTTGCTATCTGTGGGGAGGCAGGCTGGCAGGTTCCTGACACTAATGGAGGACTCTTTGTGCAGGATACCGATGTTAATCACGTCCTCCTGTGGAGTATAGCTGTCCTGATTATGTCTTGCAAGTGCCAAAAGGGATACGATCATTGTTGTGAGATCGGACTTTTGATCATTGAAAGTATGCCGATCGTCGACATTTGAATTGTGGAGATATTGGAGGCGATAACAATATTATGAGGGAAGCTTGACTTTATACGGAGTATGTCGTATCACGTGGTATCTCACGTGATTAATTGTTAGACAGATAATGACCATGCATATCATCTTTGTGCTTTGTAAGGACAACAAAACGCTAACAAACACAGGCAATCACAGCGCCATGCTGATTGATTAGGTGTGAGTCTAACAGTGGATTATTGTGGTTATCGTATGACGATCTTGAGATCCGACAAGAACAGATTGTTATCATATGTGGTATGACAATAAGGGGGGAGGGTCACGTGTCTATCACGTGATAGTGTAGGAGAGTGTCGTCATCTAGGTAATAGATAGCAGACGGGACATTTAGACACCAATAGACGAAAGCTTGGGATGGCGCTCTGTATAGTACAGACTATTTATAAAGATAAAGAGGACGAATAATGCAGAGCAAGTTAAATGACCATTCTGAATGGTCACTCTCTAACGAATGATTTTATCTATAAATAATCTACGAATATCTGGAAATACTGGGTGGGTTAAGAGTTTAGTTAGCCACAGGAGCATTTTGACCTCA